CCCCAAAACCCCAAAACCCCAAAACCCCAAAACCCCAGAAAATATTTCGCTAATTGAAAATTTAACGATTTTAACATCTGAACAAGGTGTATTCATCCATCAGCTCCACTGCTTTAGAAGCTAGTGTGAACAGGTAGCTTAGATCTTGCTTCTGGATAGATATTTCCTTCTGAATAAACCTTACTTTCTTGGCTAGAAGATTCAAATGCTTGTTTTTATAGAACTTTTCAGTGTACCTATCATACACCTTGTCAAACACTTTAACTAGATTTTCCATAAACATTAATGAAGAGGTGTCAAAGAAGTTTGCTTTCTTTTTCGTATTATTATCTATCTGGATCTGTTCATAGCACTCTTCTAGAGATTTGCTAAACCCCTGGAATCTTCTCTTAAGAGTAGTAATGTATTTATTTATCATCAGCCTGTTGATGCTCACAGAGTTCCTTATGGCTGTCAAATTGTCTATCAGTCAGGAACAATTCGAAGCAGTTAGGACACCAGCACCCAATTTTTCTCTGAATTATTCTTTCGTTAGGGTTCCTGCAATGTCTGATGTTAGGGGTAGGCTGATATGGTTCTTCAAGTTCGATCTCAACATACTCAATTTCTTCCTCCTCTTCTGCTTGAAAGTGACCTCTTCTTACAGTTCTTTGGGTATAATCTTCAGTTGAATCAGCCTCGACATAATGAGGATTTTCTCGATATGCTTTTGAATTATTCGGTCCAGCTCTAACTAGTTGAGGAGGTCTACGCTCAATTGGCCGGGTATCTTTGTACCCTGCCGCGACATAAGTAGGAAGTCTCCTCTCAGCTTTTTGTCTGGCCCACCTAACTGTTTATACAAAGAGTACTTACTTTGCTACATAAGAAAAGTCCCTGTCTTCTTCAAGATATGAGGCATATTTTCTCTTCTTTGGAGGCAGAGAATGGGGAATTTCTCCTATATCGTTCCTGACCAGGGCTGAACTTTCCATGTCGAGGATACTCCTATAAGAGGCAATATTGGTCAGTCTTCCAGATGAACGCCTCTTAGAGTCAAAGTTCATCTCCCTGAAATCCCCTGAATTGTTAATATAATTCGATAAGTTACAATCAAGAGGGGATCTAATAAAGGGATTTACTGTTTCCAGAATTTTTCCGTCCCATCTCGAGCCGGTCCTGCTACAATAGCTCCTTTCAAAAGGTGATGCTATGTGAGAAGGAACCTTTTTAGTAATCACCCTGTTGATTTTCGGAATCACATCATTGATAGTTGTATGAGGACTACATTCATCTTCTAGAAATTCAGTTATTTTAAGCGGTGGATTACACTCACCTGGAACAGAGTTCTCAGATTGCTTATCAGACAGATCATTGATGTTCAATAAAACTCTTCTAGTCACTACTGGGTTCTTTCCATCAGCTCCTAATGAATTGAGGAATTTGAAATTACCGAAAATTAGCTTATGCTTTCTTCTTCACTGTTGTGGCTTTGTACTAACACAAGGATCTCCACCAAATTGGCTTTGTCTACGAGTACCCTTGCACTCATCTTCTCTTGAAGTCACCTTTTTGAGAGACTTCTTTCCAAGATTCATAAAAGGAATCGAAGATTCCCTATAATGGGTTTGCCTCCTTCTGTTTGGTTTTGAAGCATCTGTTAGAGATGCTACATATCTGCCCATTTTGGGATAATTCTAGATAGATTTTAGAACAATTTATAAGGAAGTTAGGATACTCTCCATAGTGCCTTTATTGGCATACTATCTACCAAAGGAAAAAGATTTCACATACCTTCTGAGCAGTAGGTGGTATGGAACTGATCTCATTTTTCTGACTGACATTCAAATCTTCTCTATCAGAACTCTAAAATACTTTATATCATTGATTTAATGTACCTTTGAGAATTGGTTTGAATGTGAACTAACAGAGTATTCTTCTTCCTCTATTTCATACCCATTTGGACCTCTGATTTTATACTTCCTGAAAGATCTGAGTTTGCTGCTATACACATTTATTTAGAATCTGAAATAGATCTCCTTATGACTATCTTAAGCAAATATAAAGTCCTCCAAATGTACAAAAACAGCTCCTCAGTAAAGATCTGGGAGAGACTGATAAAAATTAAGTTCGGCTCAAGGTAGCACTCTGGCTCCTTCAAAACTACTTATTATGTATATCTATAGAGAAGAACCGATATAAACTTGAGTTTATTATGTCTAAAGTCCATTTCAACTCTTAAAATAGGCACTTCTAATCTAAATCGAGCTTGTCAATACATACCAAGAAAAATTAAGCATTCCATATGTAAGCAGACCAGCATCGAGACTTTACATCCAAGACGGATTGGTGAATGATAGTTGAGTAGACAATGAGTTTAACTGCGACTCCAACGGAAAACTATTGTCATAATATATTCCCAGAATCAGAGAAACACCAAATAGAGGTCTCAAGACATCCCCCTACACACTCAGTGTAGTTAAACACTTGGCTGGATGCTCACTAAGCAGGCATTGGTGGTTAGAGGTGAATAAATTACAAGCGATTACTTTATAATTCTCTTTGATGCAATATTGTTTAGAGGAAAATAAGCGATTTTTCAAGAACAAATACTATCAATGCTATTATTTCAAGACAAATTTCTACCATAGTTAATCGGTCTCAAATAAATTTTATGATATTAAAAACCACAGAAAAATTCTTAATACTTCTTATGAGTGTCCTAACCTCCCAGGTTGGAGAATTGGTCATGTAGTGGAGCTATAAGACCGAAATCCCTAGAGTTAATAATTTTGAACATATTGATTAGATTTTACTCTCATTTGGGGATTTTAGTTCTTAAGTCTACTTACTTTGCTCTCTCCTTGGACATATTTCTCTTCATTTTTGTTAATTTATTCTATCTGATAAACGTGGAGTGGGGTTTTGGGGTTTTGGGGTTTTGGGGTTTTGGGG